ATAGTGTTTTTGATCTTCTCTTTTAGGACTGTCATGATGCATGTAATTAGGTTTATGGTTTTCCAAAAATTCCGTAGGCTGTTTACTTTTCTTCATTTTTCTTCATTCTTTATCCTTTCTACATTTCAGATTGTTTTTTAGTTGTTCTATTTTGAAGTTTTCTGCATTTTCTTCTGCCTCTTTAAATCTCCTTTGAACATCTCTAATATATTGTTTGTTATAATTACTGTACATTTCTTTTATTTTCTTATTTGGTTATACTGTTTTCCTTTTTCTTTTAGTTCATTATGCATAATTTTCTTTTAATCTTCCCAGCTTTAAAGCAATCTATTTAACTGTACTCTTTAACTTTTTTAAATTTTTAAATGGTTTCCAATGTTTTCAAGCAAAGCCTGCTGCTTTTCTGTCAAGTGGGTTCTGATTAGGCAAAGCAAAGAGTGTTTTATAGTTCCTTCTAAGTTAGTCCTGCAGACTGGTTAAGACAGACATGCCCAATAATTTGTGAATGAAGTCTACTTTGTATTCTTGGAAATCAGAGACTATCGTCCTGCACTGAGAATGTGGGCTGCTATTGACAAGCTACCAAGCTGGGGAGGCGGTGGGCAAAGGGCACATAAAAGTGTTATAAACTTTTCTTGCCATTTTAAAGTTTCCTTTTTCTTAAATTAACATTTGCTTGGCTGCTATAAAATTTTGTTTTCCAAAGTTCTAACAAACTGGATTTTAACAGTTTCTGGTTGTCTTTTCCAGGTTTCTCTGGAGGGATGGGTGTTTGGACTGTCTGCTTCACCATTTTGCTGAAATCATTCTATAAATGTATTTTTGAACTATAATTATGTGAAGAGAACTTTCTTAGCCTAAAAAAAAAGTTATTTCACTACTGTGGCTGAAACCTGCATTTCTAACCCTGGGTTAGTGACTGTAGGGTATTAATTCTGCTATTTCAAAAGAAAATTATCTTGATCAAATAATTTGAAGAGTGTATGAGAAATTCTGAAAAGCTATAAGGAAATTTTTGTTATTTTAATCAAGCACTTTCCAAGCATATTTCACTATAAAATCCTTTCTAGCTGGCAATACAGATTGACATTTAAAGAGCACTTGTCACTAGGTTAAAATGAGAAAAAAAATGGTCTCAGTTCTTCAAAGCTTGGACGCTATGATTTTTCATAGCTGTCATAACCATAGTTATAAGGCACAGAGCAGGTGTGACTAGTACTATTTGAGAATGAATATGAGTCCCCTTCTCTTCAGAAATTCCAAAGTAAACATCTGGAAATATACAAGGGTGGCAAAGGCATGTGAGCTGTACAACTAACTGGTTAGTGCTCAGGAAGGGATTTTTTTTTTTTTTTGGTATTAAATAGGGGATGGAACTCGGGACCTTGTGCTTGGGAGGCAGGCAGTGTAACCACTGAGCTAAATCCCCAGCCCAGGAAGGTATCTTTGATAGAAGACATGGGAACAGTGAGGAAGAGGCAGGTCCAGTTATAGCCTCCCTAGAATGGACTGCGGGGTGACCCCTGCAGGCAGGAAAGTGATCTTTTTAAAAAGTAAACCAGTTTGTAAACAAAAGAAAATGAATGGGTTCCTGGTGGGGAATGGTAAAGGGTGCTTAGTGAATGGTTTTATAGAGGAGTAAGGTAGACCCTGGGGGAACAGGAAGAGGGGTGATTGGTGGAAACTGGTGCTGCTGGTGCTCCACCCAATTTGAGCACCTAAGAACAGAGGAAAACTTCTATTGCAGTTTTGCACAATCCTTTGCCTTCTCAACTGTAGACCCTTTTAGGACTAAAACAGAATCTGACACACTTTGTCTCCGTTTAACCAACAAAGCATATGAAGGAAAAAATAATACACCACATAAATAATGAGCCAGTTTTACTCTCTTTAATCTGAAAGGAATGGAGAAAAAAAAAGACCTGTTCAAAAACTAAAACTCTTATGTTTAGACCATTTTATTTGAATGATTAGAGGAGAGTCATTATTCATCTGGCTGGCCACCATCCACATGCATAAGGTTTGACTATCCAAATAAATAAAAATTGCTCAAGGCTTATGGGCTTCTTGTATTCCAATATCATTCTGGGAAAAAACTAGCTATATTAATATCATAAAACTCTATTATGTCATTGTCAGTTCTTCTCACTTGATCTCTAGAGTCAGTGCAAACCGAATAAAAACCCCAGAAAGTAATCTTATGGATCTTAACAAACTGATTCTAAAGTTTGTAAGAGGTAAAAGACTCAGAATAGCTAGTACAATATGGAAAGAGAACAAAGTCAAAAGACTAACATTACCTAGCTTTAAGAACTATAAAGATAGAGTCATTAAGACACTGGCATTGGTGAAAGAAAAGACAAATCAATGAAATAGAACAGTAGCCCAGAAACAGGCCCACGCAAATGCAGTCACCTGATCTTTGACAAATGAATAAATACAACAGAGAAAATATAGCCCTTTCAACAAATGATGCTGAACAACTGGACATCCACATGCAAAAATATGAATTTATACAGACTTTAACATCTTTCATAAAAATTAACTCAAAATGGATTACAGACTGTTAGTCACTTTCCCGTCACTGAGACACAATACCCAACACCCACAACCTAAAGAAGAGGTTTATTTTGGCTCACAGTTTTTAATCCATGGCTGGCTGGCTCCAAGGCAGAAGGGCATGGCAGAGGAAAGCTGCTTACCCCATGGCAGCCAGGAAGCAGACAAGGGGAACCAGGGACAAGAACACACCCTTCCAGGTCACACTTAGTGACTCATCTCCAGTAAGGCTCCACCTCCTAACAGCATATCAGCCATGAATCCATGGGTGGATGAATCCACTGGTAAGTACAGCACCCCCTGGTCTAATCACCTTCCAAAAGCCCCACCTCTAAATACTTGAGACTTGGGGGAACATTTCAAATCAAAACCATAATGTAGACTTAAATGTAAAACAACTCCTAGAAAATAAGAGAAAACCTAGATGACCTTGTAATGACTCTAAATATAACACCAAAGGCAGAATGCATGAAAGAAATAGCTGATAATCCAGATTTCAACAAAGAGAAAAAATTCTGCTGAGACATTGTCAAGAGAGTAAGAAGACAAACTAGAGACTGGTATAAAATATTCGCAAAAGACGTACCTGACAAATGATTGCTATCCAAAATTCAATAACCATAAAACCCAGTTTTTTAAAAAAATCAAAGACTTGACCAGTGAAGATACACAGATGACAAGTATATGAGTAGATGTTCAGCATTATATGTCATTATTGCAAACTAAAACAGTGAGGTACCAACACACACTATTAGAATGGCAAAAGTCCAGAATACCTGAACACCTAACCACTGGCAAGGGTGTGGAGCAACAGGAACTCTCATTACTGCAGGAAACACGAAGGAACAGCTACTCTGGAAGACAGTTTGGCAGGCAGCCTTGCAAAACTAGACGTATGCTTACCATTTAGAAAAGCAGTTGAGCTCCTTGGTATTTATCCAAATGAACTAAAAACTTATGTCCACACAAAAACCTGCAATGGTATTTATAGCAGCTTTTTTCATAATTTTCTAAATCTTTTAGGAGTAACCTAGATTTTCTTCAGTAGGTGAATGGATAAACTACCATATCTCCAGACCATGGAATGTTAATTCAGTATCTAAAAAAAAAAAACAAAAAAACGAGCTAGTAAGTCATGAAAAGATATAAGGAGGAACCTTAAATATGTATCAACAAGGGCTGGGGATTTAGCTCAGTGGTTCCGCCACCTGCCTCGCAAGCGCAAGGTCCCTAGTTCGATCCCTGGTACCAAAAAAAAAAAAAGTATCACCAAGTAAAAGAAGCCAGTCAGTAGTGGTGGATACAGCCACTGTCCATTTGTCTAGACCCACAGAATGCCCAAGAATGGTGAATCCTACTATAAACTATGGACTCTGGGAGATGACAATGTATCAATATGGAGTTAGCAGTTGTGGCAAATGTCCCATTCTGATGTGGGATGTTGACAGTGGCAAAGGCTATGCACATGTGGGGTTAGGGAGTGTATGGGAAATCTCTCAACTTTCTGCTTAATTTTGCTGTGAACCTAAAAATGTATTTCAAACAAAAACAGTGACACCCTGCAGATGCGATTAAGAGTAACAGGAGGGTACTCTGTGTTGTACAGTGAGACTAGAAGTCCCCACTGCAGCACCAGCTACGATCAGGATTTCTCTACAGTTGCAAAAGCCCTTCCATCAGACAGTAACTGGGCTTTTATCCTGCCTGATTGGCTTAGTGCATGCTGGATTTCGATGACGGATCTGGGTCTGAATCCCACATCTACCACTTCCTGACCATGACTGAAGATATATCACTTCAGTAAGCTGAGTGGTTTTCCTCACTTGTGATATGAGATCACAAGAATCAGAGTTTTGTAAACCATCAAACACATACAAAGATAAAGTGCTACTGCAGAATTATTTAAAAATGTATTTAAGGAGTATCCCAGGTGTGTGAGCACTGGTTGGGATGCATGAGCACACCTTGCCTCTCACAGGACAGCCCCTGACTTTGAGGAGGTGCTGATGGGTTGGCCTGTGGCCTACACACAAGACAAGTAGCCTAAAACGGGCCAGTGATGAAAGAAAGGTAAGAGATCCTCATCCCACAGCAGTCTGTTCTGTATGCAACTTGCAATGGGACAGGAGGATCAAAGCTGCAAAGATATTTATATACACATCAGGACATAATACAGTCATCCAGCCAACAGGACAAGGGGCACAATCCCCAAGTGGCCTTTGGTTAAATAAATGACAAAATGCAGAAAAGTGGCTCCTACACCATGTCTTGGCAGGCTTGGGAACAGCCATCCACAAGGCAGAAGCCACTTATGCCAAGTTTCCAAATCCCATATGCCTGGCTGGCTACAGAACTTCCTCTCTTTCCAAGGCCAGCACAGGAAACAGTCTGGGAGAGCAAGACCTCGAAAGTTCGCTGCACATGACAGTCTACAATGGGACTAAATGTTAAAGCAGAAATTTATTAAAATCCTTTTATACAATGTTTTACACCCCCCCCCAAAAAATGTAGAGTCCTAAACATTCAAGCAATCAACTCTGTTCTTAGAATTGCTTTGTAAGAAAAGGATTTTTCTGCTTTCCCCAATAAGAAAGATATTTCTGTTTATATTCCTGAAAATGATGCATTTAATCACACCACCTTCATAAAAACAGTCCCTTTGAGAGCCCAAAACCTCTGCAGACAGGGAAGAGAGATAAGCACAGAACCTTCTCCAAAATGCAATGCCTCACAACAGAGGTGTAGTGCAAGAGATACATGAAATGGCAGCTCTTCATCAGTGTGCAAACACCTATGGGCCAGTGTTCCTCAGGGAAGAACCTGAGGGCCCTAGCTGCGGAGTGTGGCCAGCCGGGACTGCATAGCCTCCAGGGCCTCTTCCTCCTCTTCATCCTCAGAGGCGGCCATTGCTCCTGGAGGTTCAGGCTCAGGAAGGGCGTCGGTCACTTTACTGGGTGCTTTGCCTAAGGCTCCTGAACAGAATGAGAAGGAATAGATTAATAACACAGTGGTGAAAGAAATGCTTCCTCGATCTTTCCTGCCTCTCATTCCTGGGATAACCTGATGATACAAAGAAAGGCAGTGAACAGGCTGTTTTGGTGGCATTTTGGTCACTGTGATATGGACATACAGCAACTTGTCACAATATCAAAGTTATAATAAATTTTTTTTGAGATGGGTTCTCACTATGTTGCCCAAGCTGGTCTTGAACTCCTGGGCTTAAAGGATCCTTCTGCCTCAGCCTTCTGAGTAGCTGGACTGTAGGTGTGTCCCACCATATCAGGCTCAAAGTCATAGTACGTAATCGTAAGAATTTTAAGAATCTTGGTTCTGCCAGGGATGGTGGCACATGCCTGTAGTCCCAGCTACTTGGGAAACAGCAAGAAGGACTGCTTGAGCCCAGAAGTTCAGGGCCACAGGCAATCATCTCCAAAACAAAAAAGACTTTGATTTTGAAGTTCCCAAATTCCTAAATACTGCTGAAAATTTAATTTTAGGTATCTCTGAATAAAACTGATTGTTTCTAAATCTTTACAAAAAATATTTTTGGAATAACTGCTCTTTATCCTAATAATTAAAATAAGTGAAAAAATAAAAATTCTACCATTTTTATTAACATGTTCATGGCAGGGCCCTAATTCGTATGTTCCACTGCCAGGCAGCTTGAACCACCAGTGGTATATGTATGACTATCCCATCGGGCAGCTTTTTATTTTATTAGTAAAAAGACTGATAAACACAATTGTACCACCAGTGGTACAAACTCGTACCAGCTGCCCAATGGGACAGACAGTTATGCATATACCTCCAGTGGTTCAAGCCGGCAGGAAAGTGTTAAAAATAAAACTCAGAAAATCCAGAAGTATAAATAAAATTCAAAAACTATTATCACTCAGAGATAACTCTCTGTATCTGCTCCTCTTCCAGACCTTTTCCATAGACACGTTTTTACACAGAAGTATGTATAAAGCTTTCTTCACATATGCTGTTGACATCTTTCCATGTCAATGAGTATAATTCTGTATCAGCTATCAGTATACTATTAAAATAGACATAGTATAACTAATTCAACCAATATTTCAGTATTACACATTTACTTTGTTTCAAAATTTTCAATATTATAAATAATGCCACTATAGACATCCTTGAGTCTTTCAGCACACCTTAATTCATTAGTGCAAACAACTAGTGAAAGTCAATCTGCTAGGATAAGGGCTTTTGATAGTTTCTGCCAAACTGCTTTCAAGAAAGTCTATGTCAACTTAAAATCCCAACAGCAGTACGTGAAAATAATACTCCCCATCATCATCATGAAAACTCTAGAAGACAATTACAGTGTGCTTATTTTTCAAGAAATAACTTGCATACTCTAAAATTTGAAAATGTAGGAGAATTGCAGCCTAAAAAACAAAGCTATTGGCCACTTTAGTGAATGCAGAAAGAGGGGCCCACGAAAAGAAGAAAGAGGATGATCTAATGGTCATACCTGCTGTAATTTCAAAGAGGATTTTGTCAATTTCCATTTCAGCTTCTTCTTCCATTTCTTCTTGGTCGTCCATGCTTTCAAAAGTGTCCTCTAACATCTCTTCTATGATCCCAGCCTAAACACAGAATAAACATTCACTTCCCTCAAATGTTAACTATGTTTACATCAGACATCCCCTCACACCACCTAGATTCTAGTCTCTCCAAGTCCAGTCCACCCTTTTCAGGATGACACTCAAGACAGGTGGCCAAAGGAAACACTGGATACTGCACCCTCTACAGGAAGACCAGACCACAAGAGAGACAGCCCTCCAAATTCAGCACTAAGGTTGGGGAAGATATGAATCTAGCATGGTATCCTATTCTTTCTCAGGCATTTCCTTCTAATCAAAATGAACAAATAAATTCACTTCATGGTCACCTAGTTGCATCCCTATGGCCTAACTGAATGGAAGTCATCTTAGTGCTGAGGGCTCCTATAAAAGGTTCAATAAATATTTGTTAAAACCTTTCACATTCTAGAGGGAGAAGTTAGCATTCACTTATTTATTCATTCAATCAGCAAGCTTTTATCAAATTCCTGGCACTGGGGATAAATGGAATCACTAAGATCAAGTCCCTGCTCATGAGGAGCTGAGCCCCATGGGAGGCTTCAGTATGCACCCAGGAATGCATCATTAAAAGCACTCAATAGATATTATATGGTATTACTTTCAATCTTGAGACACTGTTTTTTCAGTATGGTCATCCATATGCTAAAAACAGCTTTCCCTCAGATCCTGGTGGCTACATGAGTTAAATGAGCAGGGCTGAAGTCCTCCAAGGACAACCCAGTTCTAGATGAATCATCATCACCAAGCTGGGTACACATTACTTTAAAGAACACACTTTAAAGACCAGGCCCTGGTCCTGAGGCTGTCAGGTAGTTATGTGGTTTTTACATGGTTCTCAGTCTCCCTCTGTTTTTTTTTTTTTTTTTGGTACCAGGGATCGAACTCGGGACCTTGTACTTTCGAGGCAGGTGGCAGAACCATTGAGCTAAACCCCCAGCCCTTGTCTCCCTCTCCTCCCCCTCTCTTTTTGAGACAGATCTCCCCATGTAGCCCAGGCTGGCTCTGCACTCGTGATCCTCTTGCTTTAGCCTCCCAAGTGCTGGAATTACAGGCATGTGCTACCATTTTCCTGAGCCCGTTCCCTCCCAACAATGCTGCCCAAGGAGTTCTCATTCCAGAGATCTGGGCCCTAGACTTTTTATGTTGTTTTTTTTTTCCCCCATCAATTTTCTTCTGAAGCCCCTCTCTCCCATGCACCATTCCCTCTATATAATTCAAATTTACAAATGAAATTTCCTGGAGGAGGGGAAAGGATTTCTGTGCGTTAAAATGTGAGGTGTACACTTTTGGTTCTCAGGCCCCAGGGGTGAAGCATGAAACAACACTTGCATGAAGAGTTTCCCCTTCCACTTCCTCTGTGGCAGCTCACATTTAAGGTCAGACATGCCTATATCCAGCTCTTTGCCCATAGCCCAGGTGAATTCAGGTAAGTTACCTGTCAGCATAGAGACTCAGTTTCCTTCTGTGTGAAATGGGGATAAAAATACCTACTGGTACAGGGTGGCTAAGAGAACTGGACAGGACTGAATGTGCAATGTCCCATCAGCCACAGGGCTCAATGACTCCCCTCGTATCACTGTCCCTGTCTGAAGGCCATCAGTATTGATCCTTGCCAGGCCCTGATCCTGAGACTGTCAGGTATTTATGTGCTTTTTACTTGGTTCTCAGTTGCTCCTTTCTTTTTTGGTGGGGTGAGGGGCACAGGACCTCACCATGTAGCCCAGGCTGGGTATGTACTAATGATCCTCCTGTTTTAAACCACCCAAGTGCTAGAATTATAGGTGTGTGCTACCACACCTGGTTTCAGTCTTCCCTTTTTTAGTTTAAAACAGGGAACAGCAAACTACAGCCTGCAGGGTCAAGTGTGACCTGCTACCTGCTTTTGTAAAGTTTTATGGAAACACAGTCACGTTCACTTGTTTAAGTGTTCACTTGTTTAAGTATCATCTATGGCTGATTTTACACTATTAGACAGAGTTGTGTAGTCACAAGGGACGGCTGGTAGTACGGAAGGGTAGCAGGGCTAGCCCAGATCACCTTCATCATCTCTTTCGACAGCTCCCGCATGGTGGCCTGGATTTCTGGGATCTTCACGAGACTCTGCATGGCCTTCATCACTTCTGTGCTCTTCTGCAGGGACCCAGCCACTCGCAGGACCGCTGAAAGGGAAAGGCTGCAGTCAGGATTGTTCAGTGGGCTAGAATAAGGAGAAAGATCCCAACTATAAGCCACTCCAACAAAAGGGAGCAAGAGCGGGTGCATTCCAAACTTACCAATGCACCTTTAGAATGTGTCTGTGCAAGGCAACCAAGAGACTGATTTTTCTAAATTGTATGCCACCTGGGCTACTGTTGGATGAATTCTCTGAGCATCCACGGGAATGGACCATCTGGATTGTGGCCTGGGCGTTTGGCTGACCTTTAGGGAAGGAAGCCAATTCAGTGACTGATACCCAGGGACATGTCATGAATGGGAGGAACACATAACTCTCAACCTTATAAAGGCTACATGAAAACAAGCCTTTGGCTACCGAAGTAGAGCTCAGTAAGCCTTCCAGACATCACCTGCAGAGGGAGTACCTGGCCCTGCTTAACAAACTGGTGAAAGATGGTGTAGCTAAATTGTGCTTACATGAAATCTGACCAGGAAACACTGTAGGTTCGCAATGGGAGCACTGGATGCTGCCCCAGCCCAGCTGTCGAGCAGTGGCCCCACCAAACCTTGGAGCCCTGCTTAATCCTGCACCAGGCTGACAGGCAAGGCCAGGCAGCATGTATTTGTGGGGCATGGCCTCCGGCCCTGCCCTCTGTGTAGCTGAGCAGCAACTCTAGAGATCACACCCAGCCTTGGAGCCTGGTATAGTTTAAATCTAAAATGTTCCCCCAAAGCCTCATGTGTTCAGAGGCGGGGCTTCTGAAAGGTGAACTAGATCATGGGAGTGCTAGAGCTGACCTGCTCTCAGGAGGTAGAGCCTGGCTGGAGGTGGTCACTGGGGTATAACCTGGAAGGGTGTATTATCCCTGGCTACTTTTCTCTCTGCTTTCTGGCTGCCATGGGTTGAACAGCTTTCCTTCGATATTCTTTCCATCGGTCCTTTTCTGCCTTGCACTCAGCTGAACATGAACTGAAACTGAGACAAAATAAGCCTCTCCTCCTCTAAAATGTAGGTGTCAGGTATTGTGTCTCAGTGATGATCAAATGACTAAGAGCCCCTCATCATATATATGTCTTGGCCCAACTACAGTTTCCAAATAATAATAGCAGAGTGAGGAAAGACAGCTTGCAATCCAGAGCCTAGCCAGAAGCCTCAACAGCAGGGTCCAGCCAATAGTTTCAGTAAACTACACAGCACAGCCCACAATACTATTCAACCTGAGAGCACAAAAGGACTGGGTCCAACTAAAGAATCCAGCACCAATGTCTGCCTGTGTTGTTGCTACCAGCTAATCACCCCGAATCTCCAGCTAAACTCCAAAGGTCTATCACTACCAATGATTGGCTGGAAGAGGTGGCTGACTCCTAAAATGTGCAGGCATAAACATTAGGACACAAGAAATTTAACAACACTAAAAGAAACAAAGTTCCAGTAATAGAACCAGAAGAAATAGCGATCTGTTAAATGACTGACAACGAATTCAGAAATATCCTCATAAAGAAATTGAGAGAACTTTAAGAAAATATGGGTAGAAAAATTAAATGAAATTTAGACAATAATTAAGAACAAAATGAGAAGTTTGACACAAAAATAGAAACAATAAAAAAATCCTAGAGGTGAAGAATACAATAAATACACTGAAAAACTCAATGAAAAGCTCCCACAGCAGATTTGATCAAGCATAAGAAAGAAATCAGTGACCCTAAAGACAGGACATTTGATTTATTTTTGTTTTTGTTTTTTGGGGGTTTTTTTTGTTTTTAGTACTGGGGATTGAACTCAGAACTTCGCACTTGCCAGGCAGGCATTGTGCTGCTGAGCTACATTTCCAACAACAAGACATTTGAAAAATTACTCAGAAGAGAAGAAAGAAAAAAAGATTTTAAAAAAATGCAGAAGTCTTTTGGGAGCTATAGGACAACATCAAGTGAATGAACCTTTGCATAATAGGAATTTTGAAGGATAGAAAAAAAGACCTAGAAAGCATATTTAAGGAAAAAATGGCTTAAATTTCCCCAAGTTTGGGAAAACATGACAACATTCAAGTATAGAAAGCTCAGAGGTCACTAATCAAATTCAACCCAAAGAGTAGTTCACGAAGACAAAGAAAAGATACTGAAAGCAGGAAGGGATAAGAAACATCACATTCAAGGGAGCCTCAATATAGCTTTCAAGGGATTTCATAACAGACATCTTCCAGGCCAAGAGAAAGGATGATGTATTCAAAGTGCTAAGGGAGGCAGGGAGGGGAAGCTGCCCACCTAGAACACTTTATCTGGCAAAAACATCCTTCAGAAATGAGGGAAGAAATAACTCCCAAACAAAAGCTACAGGAGGTCATTACCACTAACCTTGCTTTACAGGAATTGCTATAGGGAATTCCTTAAGCTTAAATAAAAGGCTAATGAATAACAGAAAATGTGAAAGTTAAAAAACCTCAATGGTATATGCAATACACATACTCAAAATTCTTGGTCGGGGATTTAGCTCAGTGGTTCCACCGCCTGCCTTGCAAGGGCAAGGTCCCAAGTTCGATCGTGAGTACCAAAAAAGCCCCCCAAAAACCCAAAATTCTCTAATACTGTTAAATGGTATGTAAAGCAATTTTACCCTACTAAGAATGTTAAAAGACAAAACTATTAACTGTAGCTACAATAAACTGTTAAGAGATACAAAATACAAAAATGAATGTAAATTTTGACATCAAAATCATAATTGTTAGGGATAAAAAAATGAAAGTATAGAGTTTGTATATGTAATTAAGGGCAAGTTGTAGTTGGTATTCAATGGACATGGAGTCTTAGTTTTGCAGGAAGAAAGAGCTCCAGAGATCTGTTGCACAAGTTACTCATATAGTTAAAAATACACACTTAAAAATGGTTAGGATGGTAAATTTTATTTTATATACTACTTTTGCCACAATAAAAACCATAAATGATGTGAAAGTTTGAATAGAAAAAAAGACAAGTTAGTTTAAAGTAGGCTGTAATATTGATAAATTATTTTATCTAAGTAACATGGCAAGCACAAAGCAAAAACCTACAGTAGTTGTATATAAGAGAAAGGAGTCAAAGCATATGACCACACAGAGAACCATCAAACCACAAAAGGCAACAAGAGAGAAAGAAGCAAAGGATCTACAAAACAACTCATAGAAAGGCAGTAGCCAGTTCTTGCTTATCAGTAATTACCTTGAAGAAAATAGGTTAAATTCTGCAATAAAAACACAGAATAGCTCGATGAATAATACAAAGAAGATTCAACTATACATATGCTTTGCCTACAACCAACTACCAGTAAGGATGCATACAGACTGAAAGTGAAGGGATGGAAAAAAATATTCATGCAAATGGAAGCTGCAAGAGCAAGGGTCGCTATACTACATCAGAAAGAATAGACAAGTCAAAAACTAAACAAGATAATTATGTAATGACAAAGGAGTTAAGCATCTAACCCAAGAGCACCTAAATATATAGACGTTATTAAATGAACTGAAGGGAGAGATGGGCTACAATACTATAATAATAGAGGATGTCAATATCTCACTTTGAACATAGATCATCCACACAGAGCATCATAAACACAGGACTTGAATTATACCTTAGACCAAATGGACCACCAGATATATACAGAATATTTTATCCAACAGCAGCAGAATATATGTGTTTCTTAAGTGCACATAGGACATTCTCCAGGATAGAGCACATGTTAGGACAAGTCTTTACAAATTTAAGAGGACTCATATCAAACACCTTTTCAGAGCACAGTGGCATGAAAGTAGCAATCAATTAACAGAAATCTTGGAAAACACACAATTATGTGAAAAGTAAACTACATCCTCCTAAATAAGGAGCCACTGAAGAGAATCAAAGGAAATTTAAAAATACCTTGAGATGAACCAAAAAGGAAACAATATACTAAAACTTTATGCAATGGGTGCCGGGGATTTAGCTCAGTGTTCCACCACCTGTCCCGCAAGCACAAGGACCTGAGTTTGATCCCCCGGTACCAAAAAAACAAAACAAAACAAAAACAAAACTTATGCAACGCAACAAAAGGAATCCTAAAAGGAAAAATTATAGTGTTACATGCCTGTATCAAAAAAGAAAAAAGCAGGCCAGGGATTTAGCTCAGTGGTTCTTGCTGCCTGCCTTGAAAGCACAAGGATCCGAGTTCGATCCCCAGAACCAAAAAAGAAAAAAAAGAGCTGGGCAAGGTGGCCATGCCTGTAATCTAAGTACTCGGGAGGGTGAGGGAGGAGGATCGCTGCAAGTTTGAGGCAGGGCCAGCCTGAACTGCATAGCAAGACCCTGTTTCAAAAAAACAAAACAAAAAAGAAAAAAGATCACAAATAATCTAACATTCTACCTCAAGGAACTAGAAAAAGAAAAACAAAGCCCTATTTGCAGAAGGAAATAAATAATGAAAACTAGAGCAAAAAGAAATCAGAGAACAAAAAATAGGCAAATTCAATGAAATTGAGTTGCTGTTTTGAGAAGATAAACAAAATTGACATTTAGCTAGACTAAGAAAAAAAGAGACGGCTCAAATACAACTAAAAATGAAACAGACATTATAATTGATAGACTGAAAACAAAGGCTCATTAAGAAACTCCCATGAACAATTATACACCAACAAATTGGATAACCTACAAGAAACTGATAAACTCTTAGACACACATAACCTATCGAATCATGAAGAAATAAGAAGAGATTGAATCATTAATAAAAATTTTCCCACTACAGAAAAGCCCAGGACTGCACAACTTAACTGCTAAACCAAAAATTTAGATGAACTAACATTAATTGTTCTCAAATTCTTCCCAGAATTGAGCTAGAGGAAATACTTCCAAACACATTTTATGAGGCTAGCATTACCCTGTTACCAAAACCAGACAAGGACACTATAAGAAAATTACAAACTAGTATCCCCAATGAACACAGATGCAAAAACTTTCAACAAAATATTAGCAAACTGGGCAGGGGATTAGCTCAGTGGTTCTG